AGATAGATAGATAGATAGATAGATAGATAGATAGATAGATAGATAGAGAAAGAAAGCAGTATTAAGGAAATTTACCAATGGGGCAAAAGGTAAAGACATGCTAGTTTGAATTCCAGGATTGGTGGGAGCATCCATCTATTTATCTATACCCCTCTTTCTTATTGGTACAAGTTCTGCCACATTGTTTTTGTGTACGTAAACTTTACAGCAATAAGGTGTAATGCAAGAAAATACAAACGGAAGGGAATCTAAAAACAAGAGCAGAGGGAATGTCCAAATGAGATTTAATGGTCTAGAAATGGAACTATTAAGAATGATTAAGAAAAGATCTAGACCCAATGATCCCCAGTACCTGTTAAGATTTAGGCAATTAACAGAAGTCCTGAGAAGTGTGAACAGGAAGAATATTAAAACAATGTATGCCTGTGGTTAAGTAAAGGTCAATCCTAGTTGGGATCCATCTCAATCACTTCAGTGGTGGAGGAAAAAAAAGCTTGTAATGCTGACATGTATTAGTATAGTCATGGTGGCACAGTGGTTAGAATGCAGTACTGCAGGCTACTTTTGCTGACTGCTAGCTGCCTGCAATTTGGCAGTTTGAGTCTCACCGGCTCAAGGTTGACTCAGCCTTCCATCCTTCCGAGGTGGATAAAATGAGGACCCAGATTGTTGGGGTCTGTTTATGATGACTCTGTAAACAGCTTAGAGAGGGCTATAAAAGCACTGTGAAGCGGTATATAAGTCTAAGTGCTAATGCTAAGTGCTGTAACAATGGAAAAAGAGGGACAGAAATTCGAGGATAATAGGAGATTCATTGTCTTTTTTTAAACCCCAAGATGGTTATGAATAAAAAAGGTGAAATGAAAAGACACTTTCCTTCCTAGAGCTACAATACTATCAAATTACAGAATGAATAGAGAAAATATAGAGGAATATATTTTAGAGAACCTCCATCCTCCCAGGGCTGATCATACCGTCAATAGGTTGCCGACCCCTGCCTTAGTCACTTGCTGTTTGAATTATTGCAATGTGCTGTATGTGGGACTGCCCCTGAACACTTCCAGGAAGCTATAATCAGTACATAATGTGGTGGTGCGGGTAGTTATGGTTGCTTTTCACTATGCCCATGTGACACCAATACCCTGCAAGCTGTATTGGCTCTCAGTTGGCTTCTGGGTGCAATTCAAGGTGCTGGTTACCATATGGCATAGGACCAGATTATTTTGGGAACTTCCCTATCCCCGATATATCTTTCCCCTTATTCACTCTGAAAAGCCTGTTCTGAGCACCTTCATTGGAATCATGTGGGATCCTCCAGGAGGTACACCTTCCAGTGTCGGCCTTCTTTCTGACTTAATGAAATGCTCAGCCCTGCTGGCTGTTAGGAAGACTGTCAAGGCCTGGCTCTTTCCTCAGGCATTTGGGCCATGACATGTTACGTCCCAATTGGATAATAGTGTTGTTTCACTTTGGATTGGCATTTAATTGTCTTTTTCTTTTATTATTGTTTGAAGGTTGTGTACCATGGTTTTATGTTCTTTTCATTAGGCTTTATCTGATACCTTATTATTTGTGCATTGCCCAGAGTAATCTTGGTTGATTAGTTGGCCAAGTTTTTCAACAAAAAAGACTCTCTGTGGGCAGCTTATAAAAAGACAATAAAAACGTTAAAATCCCATTTATTTTATTTTTATTTTATTAGTCATATTTCTATGCCACCCACTCTCCGAGGACTCTGGGCGGCTTACACCAAAGACAGTATACTAAATAGCATATTAATAATAAAGACAAAATACTAAAAACAAATCCAGTAAAACCGTATTAAAAACTAAAATATAAAAAATCTTGGGAGATTTGTTTCATAGCACAGGAAAGAGCTAGTTAAGCATTGATGCCAATGGATGATGTAGGAATGCAGAACAATACTCTCTTATTGGGTGACCCTATAAATTCAATGGCCCTATGCTGCGTAATGGTTTTATGTAGCATTGCAAATATTTTAAACCACGTGTGTCAAACTTGCCATGTCACATTGCCATCACATGATATATCATGACTTTTTTTCCCTTTGCGGAGCTGGCTGCCAGTTTAACACCCCTGCCTTAAACTGACACTCTTTGATTGTGGGAAAGACACCATATCAAGCATATACATGCAAGGGCTTCCATGTTCTCAGCTAGTTGCAATTTCTAGGCCGTCTTCCATGGCCACCCATGAAGTCCATGATCCCTCAGAAGGCCTTCTGGCATTGTGAGTGGGACTCAGAGGAGAGGAACCTGTCTCTTTGCTTCTTTTATTCTGCATAATGTAACAATTAAAATAACTCAAAAGAGTTAATGGTATTAATTAGTGAAGGATGTTTATGCAGGTACTCACAATCTGTTTTAACAACTATTTTACATCTTTATCTCCTGGAAAAATAGCTGAGCTTTCTTATTAAGGAATGTTCTGAGAAAAAAAATAATAATTCTTATGTAGTTGGGGAAATAGGACTTGTCATTTCCAGCACTGTTCCTTGATTCAGTCCAGGTACCTTGACACTCAACACAAGTGGATGCTGTTTAGAAGCCAACGTAAATCAATGATGCAGCTACCATCCTGATCTGGTGTGGCCCTTGGGTTGCCAGGGAGGACTTTAATCTTCACATCTGCCTGGATTACAAATTTGTTAACCTTCCTAGTAGGAGCACTGCCAGAAGGGAGCACATTGGATCCTTGAGGCAAATCCCACAAATTCTATATGCATTTATGCAGTCACATTCACAAGAATAAGCATTTCTTAGAATGCTTATACCTACATGCATTTCCGGATTTGAAAGCTCCATTTTCTACACTATGGGAACATGAGAGAGGCTGGGACTGAATGGTAGAGCATCTCTTCTGCATAGAAGAGATGCCAATTCAAGCCTGGTATTGCCAGCTAGGGCTGAAAAACCTCCTGTTTAAAGAGTTGAAGAGAGGCTGACAGACAGACAGGAAAGCCTTGGGTAAGGAACTGGCTCTACAGAAAAGAGCAGAAAGGCATGTATCTATCAAGGAATGATCCTATTAATATCATAAATTATATTCTGGGTGCTCAAAGGAGCCATTGCCTTGTATTAGTTTAGAGTCTGACTGGCTAGTGCTAATGCAGATACTGAGGTATAATTTAAATTCAGGTTATATGAAAGATGATAGTCATCTATATGGTGATGTTGGAACATAATCAGCCTCTTGTAAATAATTATATTGTTTCTTTTTTCCAGCTCACCTTTTCTGGGCCATGGCTTCTAGAGCATCATCTGGCATCACTGTTGTTGCTCCCAGAGGCTCCAGTAACCTCACCACAAGTGCTGTGCTAACCACTGCCCAACCCAGCTTCATCGAAGGCCTTATCAACAAAATTCCATGTGAGTCAATTCAAGGCATGATGGAATGAACAGTTCATTCAAGGATCTTATTATGTGTAGCTCAGCTGAGGAGTTCCAGAAGGTCCAATTCATACTTAAATTGGATTTCTTTTTAACAAGTGATTGGAGGCTTATTATTTTTTCTTTCTTTCATCCATTCATTCAATCAATCATGTCTGGTTCTTGGAGTTCCGGGTGCGATTCAAGGTGTTAGTTATCACCTTTAAAGCGCTCCAGGGCTTAGGACCTGGGTACCTACGAGACCGTCTTTTGCCACCAATAGCCTCCCACCGACCAGTTCGTTCTCACAGGGAGGGACTACTCAGGGTACCGTCAGTCAAATTATGCCGACTGGCGACTCCCAGGGGGAGGGCCTTCTCTGTGAGGGCTCCAACCCTTTGGAATGAACTGCCCCCTGAGATACGAAATATCCCTGATCTCCGTGCTTTCCGCCGTGCCCTCAAAACCCTGATGTTCCAACAAGTGGGGCTAAACATATGAACATGTGAATGTTTCTAAAATGTTATCTAATTTTAGGTTCTATTTAATTGGGCCAAACTATGTTATAATAATAATTTTAATTAGCAATTTTATGTTGTTTGTGCATCTATATTTTTCTTGACTGTACACCGCCTTGAGTCCTACGGGAGAAAGGCGGTATAGAAATATAATAAATAAATAAATAAATAAATAAATAAATAAATAAATAAATAAATATCCATGCAGTTTTCTTGACAAAGTTTTTCAGAAGTGGTTTACCATTATGTCCTTCCTAGGTGTGTGAGAGAGAGTCTGGTCCAAAGTCGCTCAGCTGGCTTCATGCCCAAGGCAGGATGAGAATTCAGTCTCCCAGTTTCTAGTCTGATGCCTTAACCTCTATACCAAAAACATTTACTAAAAAACATTTACTAAAAATACATTACTAAAAATACATTTACTAAAAAAAAAGATGACCATGAATGTAAGGCTTCCAAGGAACAGTGTGTATGTGTGTAGAATTTGCCTAGCTTCTTTACCTTGTTGATTTAACAGCGACCACCATCACTTGAAACTACGCCTATAAATTTCCCTACCACAAGAACCCTGGCCAATAAGTGGTTGCAGAATGTGTGTGTGTCCTCATTAAAAACCACCTTCCAGAAAAATAAGGCCCCATTGTCAAATTGATAAAAATTACCTAAAATACACATACTCCATTTCTAAATTTAATCCATCCTCCCAAATCTGGACATACCAATTTTTCTCATGTATACAAACTGCTCAAACACGCAAATACATGCCTGTATTTCTCCCCCCCCTTTTTTTTTACCCAGCAGAAGCAGCCACAAAGCAGAGGGGATACATGGGGAAGGATAGTTTATAGGGAAAATGTAGTTGTAGTGAGATGTGAAAGAAGGGATGGAAAAATGGATGAAAATGAGACAAGAACTGAATAGGAAAAAAAAGGAGGTGAGAACTTTGTTTAGGTATTACAAACAATGGTAAAAAATAACCGATATTCCCCTCTAAAACAGCAATTAATTTATGCTTTGCAACTGAGATGTCTGCAGCCACTTGTACCTGTTGATCTTTCTAGCTTCTTTTAGATTAGAGAAGACACCCTCAATTTTGAATTTTAAGATGATTTTACAAATATAAAAGTAGAGCATAACTGGTGATGTAGACACTGCTAAACAACTCCAATAACCCCTGAAAGCTTTTATTTAAAGTCCACTGCTCCTATATCAGCTCTATATTTGATAATAAGTCCTGGAGATTAGTATAGAGAAGAAAAAGAAGAGATAAATTGGCCCCATTTTGATACTCTTTTACATGGCCCTGAAGATCTGGTTTTGCCAATGGGACTGGGGAACCCAGTGTGAGATGGAGGCCATCAAGTGATTTATTGGATTGACTGATGGCTGTGGCCACGGGCGTGGGAGGTTATTGTTTTTTATTTGGTTTTTTTTATATATATTGGTTTTTTGTCTTTGTAAGCTGCCTGGAGTCACTAAGAGTGAGTTGGGCAACCATATAAATGTTCATAAATGAATGTATGAATGAATTAATGAATGGTTGTCTATGGCTTTACATTACATTAAGCCATTATAGAATGAGACGTAAAGTGTCAGATGTGGTTCATCAATGTAACACAACCCATGGTTGATGAAACTACAGCCTGATTTGATGTATGAAAGTAGGCAGACTCATTAATGACATTAAAAAAACCCATTATTTGTAAACCCACTTTCATCAGATCATTTTAGCAACAGAAGAGGAGTCTTCCTTGTATGTTCCTAACATTCTACATAGCTGTTTATTCTAGAACATTATTCTGTTCTCTTATTCAAGAGAAATTAGTTGTCTGTTTAATTCTCATGGCAATACAAACATAATGCCTGGGAACCTTGCTGAGATTATAAAACGAGTCTTTAAAAATACTCCTGGACTGAACTCAAACTCTCCATTCTGAAACAATAGGATTGCTGGGAGAGCTTGCCAAACACACACACACTCTCTCTCTCTCTTTTAAACACAATGAGTGAGAGTAAACATTTATCTCATCCTTTTTTTTGGTTCTAAAGGACAAAAATGTTTTATTAATGTGTATGAAAAGAAGAGCATTTAGTGTAGTCCCTGCCGTATCTGTTCATCATGACTCAAGGTGTCCAAGCCTAACTTCAGCACGTTCTTTGCTTCTGCAATCTTCCTCATTTATTCTTTTCTGTCCCATTTTTGCTTTCATGCTTCAGAGGTATTAAAATGCAGGCATTCATTGAGGATGACAATAAGATCTGCCATCTTACAGAGAAATTGGAAAACTATGGGAAAGAAAAAAAGTCACCCCTACCAAACAGATGTCATGCATCAATAAGCTATTACCACAAATGTGTTTGTGCATGTCCTTTTTAATCTTTTGCTAATTGACTTTGGCATGATAAGATGAAGGAACAAATTATTTAGCTGTTGGGAAAGTGACATTAGATGAATAAACAAAAGTCTTCTTTAAAAAAACAACAAAAGGAACTGACTCAATAATTTACTATACCCTTTTGGCAAAGTGATTATAAGTATTAAAATATAATTTATGATAATTCCTACTATTGGTGTCCTTCCAGATGGGCTAGATTCTAATTCCTGACATGGTGAACGATATCAGTCAATAGGCATCTTAGCTGAGGGTAATGGAAATGGTAGTCTAATGTGGTCTGCTTCTGAATGCAGTTCTAGGTATTAGTTATGACCTTTAAAGTTCTTAATGTCATAGGTCCAGGCTATCTGATGAACCACCTCATCCCGCTGGGACAAGCCTGTCCTTCTTGTGCCAGCAGAGAGTGCCTACTTTAGATCCTATCAGTCAAAGAACTCTGGTTATTGAGATTCAGAAGAAGATCCGTCTCTGCTTCAGTGTCTGACCTTTGCAACATCTTACCCTCTAAACTAACATCTGCCCCTACCCTCCTATCCTTCCACAAAAGACCAGAGACCTGGCTCTGCAGGTTGACCTGGGTACCAAATGGGGGAGTTCCACACTGGAGGTGGCTGCTAGATTGATGGCAGACTGTACCCCCCCCGCCTTTGCTCTCTGTTCTCCACCCATCCATCTTTTTGGTTATCACATTGATGTATTCTCGTTGTGTTCCTTTTTCGTTGTTTCTTTTATTGTTCTATTATCTTACTTCTGTTTACACTCCTTTCGTTTTCTTTTTTTTTAAATTATTGTAAGCTGGCAAGATAGGCAGCAAATAAATTTAACAAATCAATAAATCTTTGGTGGATACTAGGTTAGGCATTAATTGTTGTAAATGCTTAATTCTTTGACATAGCAGCCCCATCTATTTTGCAGATAATTATTATGATTTGCCTACATTTGGAAGTGATACTAGACCAGCGTCCCCCAACCTTTTGGGCACCAGGGACCAACTCCATGGAGAAAGGGTTTTCTGCGGACCGGAGGAGGTGTGGCTTTGCATGCTGCCTTCATCCCACGGATGGGGCTTCGCTTGTTTGCACAGATCGGTTGATGGCATGCTGTGGACCAGTACCGGTCCATGGACTAGGGGTTGGGGACGGCTGTACTAGAGCCTCCAAATCTTTGTAACTTTCCAGAAAGAATTCCCTGATTTACATTACATGATTTCTTTCCTCTTTCTTGTCTCCTGCTGCGGAAACAGTACCCAGATGGGCTCTCATAGCAATTGCTGTAGCAGCAGGCTTAGTCCTGCTACTTTTCCTTATCTGTATCATCAAGTGCTGCTGCTGCAAGAAGAAACGCAAGAAGAAGGAGAAACTCAACTTAACAAACATTAATGGTGCCTCCACAACAGCCAGCTTGGTAGGTAACCTTGACTTTTAGGATGGAATAGCATTTTGATTTTTAAGTTCAAATTTCAAGAGGACTATAACCCCTGGAGAACTTTCAATGAATTCTCAGTTACAAAACTCCTTCTAGTCTTGAAGTACAAATGGTTTCTAGGCTTGAAATATAAATACACAGCAAAGTAGATAGGAAAACAAGATGGATACAATTCAACTGATCTCAGTAGGGGTTAAGCAAGAACTGGTAACCAGGCAGTGAAAAAAAATCAAACTGGTGGCCATGAATGCATAATCAAGCTTATGGTACTTGTTAAGAAAGGGGCAGAGCTTCAATTGTGCACTTGTATGTCATCTTGACTTTTTGATAATCTGTGTAGATGTCCCTGGTAGCTAAGTGATTGGGAACAGTTGATATGACACAGAAGCTCAGTTTTGGAGTATATTAATATCTTTGATAGATCACTTGTGAAATCATACACAGTTCTGATTTTTACTCCTTGGCTCCAAATACTTATTTCTTAGTACAGGTGATCCACAGTTAATGACCACTTGTTCAGTGACCATTCAAACTTGTGATGGCACTGAATGAGGGTATTTATGACTGGTCCTCAGGGTCTGGCTGACACAGAGGGCAAACTGGGTGCTCAGCAACCAGCCCAGATTTCTGGCCAACACAGTGTCCCACAGTCATGTGATTACAATTTGCAATCTCTTCTTCTGCCTTCCCACAAGCAAAATCAATGGGGAACTGGCAGAAAATCAGAAGTTGTGGACATATGAGGTCCTCACAATCCATGAGGATTCACTTAACAATAATAACCAAGAATTGCCAGAACTGCTATCCCTAAGTGGTATCACCAAACACACTTTACAATTGCATCACTTAGAGATGGAAATTTCAGTCCCAATTACTGTTGTTAAAGACTACCTGTATTACATTTTCAAAGTACAATATTTTCATTGCTATTGATAAGACTTAATAGATTTTGAATTGGTTTTGTGTCTCCAAGAACTGAATATAATACAATAAACACCAGAGGATTGTTGTTATAGGGAAAAATAGAAGTGTGTGTGTGGGGTGGGGGGGACACACTGAGTTCCTGAATGTAAAATGGCATACAGTATATACGGTCAACCCAAAGTAAGTCATACTTCATAGATCATTTATTATATGAATTCCATTGAATGTTTGAATGAAAGGTGCTAATATTTTGATGTAGGTCCAACCTGATTTGGAAGACATTGAATGTGGACTGGAAGATGAGAAACGAGGACGGCTGCAATATTCCCTAGAATATGACTTCCGTGGCCAGGAGGTATATTTCACAAATCCCAGGGTGACAAATTTGCACTCCTTTTTTATTATTATAAAACAATATTAAATAGCAATACTTTTCCTTTCTGCATTTCACGTATTTGTTTTCATCTGTGTCACCCTTGTATGTTTTCCTTTACTCTACATTGATTCTTTCATCCAATGATGACCAATTTTAGAAAAGCTACCATCCTATTGGCAAATGCTGATAACCTGCGTAGCTTCTGGGTTCTTCCTATTCATTACTACTCCAACAAATTTGAGGCAGTGCCTAAGGCCTCAGTTGAACTATCCACCAGAACTTAAGGGAAAGTTGAAGCATTCACTGAAACCAATATGGGTCCAGTATTTTGATTGGTTGTGATTGCTCAATAGGACTTTGTTCCCTATGACGTTTGGGCAACACTAGCAAACAATCAGAGAATGATCAGATCATGGCAAAGGACTGATGGTGAAGTCTTGTACTAAGATCCTGTCACAACTGTCTGGGACAAAACAATAGATCTAACATGTAGCCAAGTGTATTTTGGACCTTCAGTGACTTAAGTCAATTCCATGACTTAATGCCATCTAGGCAAATTAAAGTTTCTCAAACCCAGTGACAGAATCTAGAAGTTTATTAAAGGATGTTGTTGTGCAGTAGGGAGACCAATACAGCAGAACAATCCAACTGTTTCCTAGAATCAAATTTCATCCAGAGAGTCTAATGTCACAACTTTTAAGAACATTACTTTTCTATTCTGGTTTGCTTGCCTACTCCATTTCTAGCCCAGGTCTACAGATTTGCAAACTTAATACACATTGTCCATTTCAAGACTTTCATATTTTTGAATTGATTCTCTAAGTTGAAGGTTAGAGTGAAGCAAGCAGCAGATCTAAAGGCCATGGACAGTGGGGGTACCTCTGATCCCTATGTGATTGCTTTCCTGACATCTGACATAAGGAAGAAGTACGAAACAAAGGTTCATCGTAAGACACTCAATCCTGTTTTCAACGAGAGCTTCATTTTTCAGGTAGGATGCAAGGCCCTCTGTAAGTTCATTGATCTGTTTCAATTCAGTTTGGTATTGTTAAAATTTAGTTTATAAGTTTGCAAAGATATTCATTAACAAATTTTTCATTGTTATTTCATGTTCTTGGTTAGCTTAATTGACTTTAGTATGATTTGTGATGTTGACTTTACAAACCCTGTCTTCCATTGAAATCACACCTTCTTTATTGTGGCACCTGATTTTGATAACCCCATTTCCTCTCCCCCCTGCACCTGAGATCCATACAGGTCCCAAGCTGTTGGAGAACCAATGTTGGAGAATCAATCTTGAGCAAAATGGATACAACTTTTTGACTCCATTCTTACTTTGCAGGATGATTGTCCCGTATTGCTCAGATTCACTGCTTCATCATTTGAGAAGGACATGAGATTTCATCCATTGGTAGAAGTGAAATTGCCATTCCCTTTTTTCCTCTTCTCTAGGTCTCCCAAGCAGAGCTGACTGAAGCTATACTGGTCATGCAAGTGTATGATTTCAACCGCTTTTCCAAGCATGACATAATTGGTGAGGTGAGCCTGCCTCTTGTGGATGTGGACTTACAGCATGTAATGGAACAATGGCTTGATCTCTCTCCAGCTGGCAAGATAGAGGTACGTATCTCAGATGTGAGGGTGACAATTTTGTCTAATTTGGGTGATCTGGCATCTTATTCATTCAGGGCAAGGGAAGCAACTCTCAGCCCCATTTTTATGCAGTGGTGGGCTGCTGCCGGTTCAGACCAGTAGTTCTGACAATCAGCTGGCCCTGTCCACCCACACCCTATCCTGTCCTATATTTCCTTCTTTCTGGCTCAGCTGATTCGCACAGCACAGCTGATTTCCACACCTCTGCTGTTCTACTTACCGGGGCTGCCTTAGAAGGTAATCAGCTGAGCTTCAAATTGCTGTATTTTGAACCCTGGATTAGGTGTGTGCTCACAGAACCAGACGTTAAAGCGGTTGCAGCCCACCACTGTTTTTATGGGTCTAAAGCAGTGGTGGGTTTCTACTGGTTCACCCTTGTTCGGGCGAGCTGGTAGTGACGGCAGCGGAAGGCTCACCCACCCGGACGTCACCACGGACACTCTGTGCATGCACAGAAGGTTCTGTGCATGTGCAGAAGCACTGCACACGAGCAAAGTAAGTGCGCACACACGCACGCACCCAATTCCGAACCGGTAGCGAAGGTTAGTGGAACCCACTACTGGTCTAAAGCTTTCCAAAGTTGTATCATATGAACATGGAAACAAATGGTTTGCCTTCAGCAGTATTGGTTGTCACTTCAGATACAACAGCAGTAAACTGAGAGTGATAAGCTGAATAATTATTTCATTTCAAATATTCAAAGGAAAAATAAGAAGCAAATAATTTAGATGCTTTCCTTATTAATCATCTCAACCTCTCAGTGCCAGACCTCTTGTGGACCCCCAGGCTGAAACAAAAATCCCCAAATAACTCTGACCCCAATCACAAAATACCTGCTCAGGCTTTGATGCAAATAATTTAGATGCTTTCCTTATTAGTCATCTCACCCTCTCAGTGCCAGACCTCTTGTGGACCCCCAGGCTGGAAAATAAAAATCCCAAATAACTCTGACCCCAATCACAAAATACCTGCTCAGCTTTGATGCAGAGACTGGAATAAATCTCACAAAAGTTCACGTGACATCATTATGAAACTCTGGAGCTAAGGAAGGAAAATGCTGACTGGTTCTATTTAACTGAAGAGTTAGATCTTGGTGCTGATTCTCTTGACCAGTCAAAAGTGTTCTTTCAAGCTTAATTATGCAGATTGTATCACTTAATTGTATTATATTAATTATATAGGAGTTGTTTCCCAAGCTGAAGGTTTTGTAAATTCTTCTGCATGTGGGGCATATGTTGCCAAAGGAAGGAAGGAAAGATCTTTTTTGAGGTACTATAATAGGATGTGTGGAAATTGAGGGGATTGTGGCCCCCCCAGTTGTTGCTGAACTGCAATGCTCCATTGTTGGGCAACCTGGCTGAGATTGCTGAAACTACAGAGTACACAACGTTTAGCTGTCTCCCCTCCTTACCTGTAGGGTAAAGTTAGCAGCGGGATCATTTACTCAGTGTTTGTTTTCAGATTTGGCAATCCCTGTGAAAAGAGATTAGACTAAATTACTTTGTTATTCTGCTAGTAAAAGACAACAATAAAAAGGTTTTTTTTTTCCCAGGCAGGGAAAAATGGCTTTGTTGTTTGTTTTGTCCCTAATTTGTGAGCGTGTGAACCATTTTATTCTGTGTACTATTAGCTGCCTTGAGCACCATTGTTTGGTAGAGAGGCAGGGAATCAATACAATAATAGATCTGTTTAGTTCCTGTGGTGTGCAAAATATTGTAACACCTTGTTCAGATTGTAAACTTTGATAAATCCCCAAAAGAGCAGATGCTATCACAACCCTTGCATAGTATAATGTTAAATGCACCATCTTTCTACAAATTTAAATGCATTCTTAACACTTTATGCACAGTTGATTATAGATTCACAATAAGAACATTGTGACTATTGGCAGGTGCAGAAATTAATTTGATTTGATGCTATAGTTTTTACAGTACAGTGGTGAATAAGGCCCCTGAAGGTGATTGAGTCATTAAGTCTACAATTACAGAGGTGAAGAAAATTCCATTGGATATATAAACATTCTGAACCTTCAAATCTCTCAGGCTGTGATGTTTGTTTATTTTAATGGTCCTTGACTCTTCTAAAAGAGTTGTCTGAGTATTCAAAAAATGGAGTTAATTGTGTCTTGCAAAGTAGGGGAATGCTAGCAATTTTAGCTGTGAGAAACATTGTGAGAGGAAAGCTACATGGAACTGTGGAAGTCCAGACTAGATCTGAAAAACCAAGAAAAATATCTGCTGGTACTACTTGAAAAGTTCTCAGATTTGCAAAAAAATACCCTCTGTGAATCACCTACTGAAAAGTTTAGCAACAGATAATATAGCACCATTAATACAACAAGACCAAAGACTCCTACAAGGGAAAACAGAAAACATTTCCAAAAATCACAAATAGAAACACTTGTACTTTGCTATACAAAACATTTAGAAACTCTTATTTCTGTCAAAGAAGATATTACAAAGTGTTCAAACTTTGCACCTACTATATTCATTGTTTTCATATTTTGAAGCTCTAAAGAACTGCACAATAGATACCTTGTGTTGAAATTGATAGAAAGATGCTGTGTTTAATTTTGCACAGTTTTGAGGTCGTGTCACCTTCTGTTCACTTAGGAAGTTATCAGTGTGTACAACTCGACCAGGATGCTGAAATTTTTATATGAAACTGCATAGCCTAGGTCCACATTTCAGCTCATCATAGTTTATTAAACTACTTATGACTTTCTAGATTGAGACATGGCTCACAAACTGCACATTATGGTTTGGAGCCATGGTGGCGCTGTGGTTAGAATGCAGTATTGCAGGCTAACTCTGAATTCTATTGCCAGGAGTTCGATCCTGACTGGCTCAAGGTTGACTCAGCCTTCTATCCTTCTGAGGTTGATAAAATGAGGAACCCAGATTGTTGGGGGCAATATGCTGACTTTGTAAACCACTTAGAAATGGCTGTAAAGCACTATGAAGCGATATATAAATCTAAGTGCTATTGCTATTGCTATGCTCTGTGAGCTAAGCCACTTAGAAAGAGTTGCTATTCTTATTATTATATTAAGCTAATGGGAATTGCATTCCAACTTCTGGAGGACATCATATTAGGAAGATACTGTAGATTTAATACTATTAAAATTCCTAAAAATAATTTGGAATATTCTGATAAAATTAGTTCTTAGTAGTAAGACATTCCATGCATGTTCAAACAACCACTTTTCTTTGCAAAAGACTCTTACTCGAAATCTGCTTTTTGAAGTAATCAAATTCTTCAAAGAGAGAAGAGGTTAGAGTAAGTTGATGTCATTAGGATGGTCAGTAATTATTATTTAATTATGTTAACTATATCTAATATTAATTTATTCATCGATATTAGATTTTATTTTTATTATTTGCCAAATGTTCATCTTTGGTAATAAAGTAGGCTATAATTCCAATAACTAAATAAATTACAGGGCTACACAAACAATGTAGTGGCAAGAAATTTACCCATTTTGTATCATTGGAGCAAAGCCAACTCATCACTTAATATCAGTCCACTTACGCAGTAAAGACTAAGAGGAGAGACATAAGCCATTTTTTTCAAAGTAAAGTACTGCTTGCAATATGTACTTCTTGTTTTTGATCAATTATAAAACCAATTACAAAATTGCTGTGACTGGCAAGTGTACCATACAGGTATCTAACTTACTGACTGCCTTGATCATCAACCATTTGAAATTGCGATAGCGTTGAAAAAATAGACTACTGACTAGTCCTCAAACTTGCTGTTGTTGCAGTGTCCCTGTGTTTGCACAGTTGTAATCTGGGCACTTTGCAACTGGGACATATTTATGACAGTTACGGTGCTCCAGGGCAGGGGTGAAATGTAAAATTTGTTACTATTGGTTCTGTGGGCGTGGCTTGGTGGTGGTGGGGTAATGTGACTGGGTGGGCGTGGCCAACTTTAAAAAAAAAAACAACTTTTCAAAGCATTTTTTCTAATGCTTTGAAAAGCCTCTCTGCCAAACAGGGAACTCAGCTGGGTTCGTCAGAGACTTTTCAAAGCATTTTTTTACCACCTCTTCGGCCAAGAGGTTGCAGAAAAAAATGCTTTGAAAAGCCTCTGATGATCCCAGCTGAGCCGCACGATCATCAGAGGCTTTTTTTTTTCTTTTTCTTTTTTCTTTTTCATTGGAAGAGGTTGTAGAAAAAATGCTTTTAAAAGTAAAAAAAAAAAAAAGGCTCTGATGATCGTGCGGCTCAGCTGGGCATGGTGGTGGTGGTGGGGCCACAGGGATTTTTGCTACTGGTTCTCTGAACCATCCGCCACCATCGCTACCGGATTGGGCGATCCGGTCTGAACCAGGAGCATTTCACCCCTGCTCCAGGGGTGGTATTCACTTACCTTCACTAACGGTTCGCAAATGTGAGTGCTTGTGTGCTTGGTTCGCTTGCACGTGTTGCCTACATGCATGCACAGGACCTTCTGTGCATGCACAGAGCGTCAAAAGCAGGACGTGAATGTTATCCTGGCGGGTGGGTGGAGCCTCCCGCAGCCGCCGCTACCAGTTCTCCCAAATCAGATAGAACCGGATGAATATCATCACTTCGGTGCTCCACAGTCACATGAATGCCACTTGCAAGCTTAACAGCTGGGAAGCAAAATTTATGGGGAAGCCAGCAGGAAGTCACAAGTCTCAGTCACATGATATCATGCATTGCTTAGCGACAGAATTGCTAGTCCCAATTCGAGGTCAGTAAGTGAGAACTGTGTGTATTTTTTGTGTCTCAGGAATGAAGCTGAGGAGTCAGTTCTAATAGCATAGCTTGGACTAATATCTTTTGATTAGACAGATAGGGATGCAATAGATCTGGGTGATGGAGCTGCATGTATAACAGAATAACATACCGGTAGTTGGAAGGGACCTTGGAGGTCTTCTAGTCCAACCCCTGCCCAGGCAGGAAACCCTACACCACTTCAGACAAATGGTTATCCTA